TATATATATATATATATATATATATATATATATATATATATATATATATATCAGTATAAGTAATCATATTATTAGTATATACTCACATAACTGAATAAGTATTCGTTATTTCTTGTTAATAGTATTAATAGTAATAGATGTTAATAGTAAGGCTGAAAGTAAAATTAAAATTTCGATTCAAGTAGGTCAAAAGAGCTTAATGTAGGTTTCAGAGTATTAAAATAGGTTAAACGGAATAGTAAAATTGAAAGAGAGAGAGAGAGAGAGAGAGAGAGAGAGAGAGAGAGAAAGTAGAATCAAAATTTCGACTCAGGAAATATCTTCTATACGATCAGAGGTACTCTCTAAATTATATTCGACGTTACATAATCAATAAGCAATTTTTACAGTCACTAGTGATTCCTCCTAAGTCAATTATGTTCCCGGAGCGAGTCATAGTGATGAAAGCTATGCTGCAGTTTCAAACGCGAGATCTCGGAGTGGCACACAATCAATTTGTTACGATATAAATTGATCGGCTAGATCGAGGATCGCGATAACCATAGCTAGCCGTTTAATCCGTAAATCACTTTTTTTCCTGTCAAGAGAGATTATCGTATCGTAATCGAGCCTCCGTTTGCCGCACGTTCGACCTTTTGGTCGGCACTTGACATTGCGCCTTCGTGAAACCAGCGGGAGTCTCACTTCCCACTCGTGCGACCTCGCACGACCAAACTTCCGGCTTTCCCTTCGCGAAATGTCACTTCCTCCTCCGATTAACACAACGACGTCATTAATGTGCGCGATTCAATGAAAAAGGACAACGAAGAAAAAAGGAAGAATAAATCTTCCTGTTTGCGCGGTTAACTGAGGACACAACGACGGATTATAATTATTGACTAAACATACGACACTTTCTCCGGACTGACGTGTGCATTTTTGTCATACTCGTCTTATCGTGCGCGTTTGTACAAATGAAAGACCGTCGCTTGATAATTTTATCGTAAAGAATTCTCGGTGAGTCGATATATATATATATATATATATATATATATATATATATATATATATATATATATAT